TGGCCTGCCCCGTTTGGACCGCAGGCCAGCACGGGCCGGAGCGGGCCGGGCCAGACCGGCCCATTTGACAGTGCTAGATAATACCCAACCGACACACCAGCAGCCAGTGAAGCTAACTTATCAGCAGAGAAGTTTCCTTCCCTATATATATGGAATACTCGAACACACCACTCTTTCCTTAGTAACTCACGAATAGCTCGAATAATAGTTTCATGAAGACCAAGATTATCCTCAGCCCCCAGGACCATGACAACAACACTACTATTGTCCACCTCAACCAAATCGTTCCGAGCTCCCAAATCTCAAGCTAGACGAAGTCCGTGATAAAGCCCCCACAATTCCGCCCTGTGATAGAGCAGAAACCCACGTTCATAAAGAAGCCGCCCATATTAAAAGATAAAGAGGTAAAAAAAACAAAATTAAAAATATTTAATAGTCATGTCAGTCCGAGTTGTCCATATTGGGTCAATACCTGAGTTGACCGCGTCTAGACCAGGTTCCTTGGCCCGATCCGAACAACCCAACCTAGACCACCCACCCTAGACCGGAGCGTGCTATCTATTTTTAAGCATATGGTTCCATTGTGAACATTTTATGTTTCTCCATTTTGATCAGCTACAAAATTTAATCGATTTTAAATGATGAAACAAATGTTTTACACTATTTAGCCCAAAAAAATTTAATTTATCCAATCAAATTCTTAACAATATTGTCAATAAAATCAAGTATACAAATAAATCATCCATACGTCAAAGTAATTTTAATTCATTATTTGTACATTCATATATTTTTATCGGTTTTGCTGTAAAACTAATCGTTGGCTCCATAATGGAATTAACCTTTTAAATACAACAAGTAAATCATATCATATCCTCTGATTATTTAAGTAATACTAATAATTTTATTAATATAGTATAATTTACTTGTTGTATATAGAAAGTTGGCTCCACTGTAGAGCCAACATTTGGCTTCATAGCAAGACCCATATAAACTATAACTCACAAACCAACAAAAATTAGTTAGTGCTCGTCGTTTGTTCGCTGTAGGGCCGCTCTCGAAAGCTCGATCTCGCACCAGAACCTACCCAAAAGGAAAAATCTGAAGCACTCTGCTCTTGAAACGACGACGTAAAAGGTGAAATGGGTAGCCGGGGCTCGATGAATCACCGGCTGCCATCGTCGTCTTCTAGCTTCGGTAGCCGGGTTTCGTTCTTGATGCTTTCAATGTTTGCTACCATGGCTTCCGTTTATGTAGCGGGAAGGTATGTATAAGCTTCTCTACTGCTTAAACGCACGACCTTAGCTCGGCCCCATTTCGAATTTTCTTTTTATTATTCCCCAAATTTTTCATCATTAAAGGTTGTGATGAATGGGTTGGTGTAGATTGTGGCAGGACGCGGAGAACCGAGTTTATTTGGTTAACGAGCTTGATAAGAGAACTGGCCAGGTGAAAAGCTATTTCCTATTTGGCTGATTTTAGAACTTTTAGCATTTGCTGATTATTGTTGAAAACTTGTGAGTTGTCCCACATTGATTCTATAGGGAAATGAGCCTAGTATATATAAGCCTAGTGGGCTACTCCTCCCCTCACCAATTAGTTCTGGCATGAAACCTCAGTAAGGTGCATCTAGGTCCACCCTCTCATTGTGCGCTTCACTTGGTGGGACCGCACCCTCTACCTCCCGGTTCTAATAATTATAAAAGCTAAGGTGAATGAAGAGGATAAAGAAAATGAAGGTCTCACTCAAAATGGGCTTTATTTCCCCTCATAGATAATAAGAGCTTTTAAGAAATTTAATGCCAGCGAGTTCAATGGCAGATTGGGTATGGTAATTGTAGAGATTCTGAGAATTCAAATTTGTAAGCTAAGAACAATGTTTTTGGTTTTCCAGATATTTTCATTCAAAGAAAAAGAAGAACAAACTTGTTCTTATACAAGGACAACGAGCATGCTTTACATGTGAGTCTTAGAACCAATCACAGCATGACACGTCACAACCCAACTAAAACATAAAATGAAAGAAAAAACGTTAACACACCTCTTTTAGTAAGAGTAGCAACTCTAAACAACCAAACTAAAAACATAAAGCAAAAAAACAAGATAAAAACAGAGGATGCACTCTGTAAACCACCATCATCTCAACAGCCCCCCCTCAAGTGGGAATGGGGTAAGTAGAGCTCATTCCCAACTTGGACAGGAATCGTGAAAACATCGGGCCACCAAGTGACTTAGTAAATAAGTCAGCAGGTTGAGAAGAGCTAGAAATGTGCTGAGGGAGAACAAACCCGTCCTTGAATTTGTTGCGGACCACATGGCAATCGATGTCGAGATGCTTAGTCCGTTCATGAAAGACCGGGTTCGCAGTGATGTGAAGCGCGGCTCTGTTGTCACACCAAAGATCAATGGGAAGAGATAAAGGCATTCCCAGCTCATGCAAAATATAGGTGATCCACTGTAGTTCACAAACTGTTGAAGCCATCGATCTATACTCAGCTTCAGCTGAGGAGCGGGAAACCGTTTTCTGCTTCTTTGTCTTCCAGGAAATTAGGGCATCTCCAAGAAAAATACAAAACCCAGTTAAGGACCTTCTAGTGACATAGCAACTGCCCCAATCTGCATCACAATATGCCTTAAGTTGAGATGAACACTGAGCCTTGTAATAAAGCCCCAAATTGGGAGTCCCTTTCAAGTATTTAACAACATGCAATGCAGCTTGCCATTGAGCTTGAGTTGGAGAATGAACATATTGGCTGAGCTGTTGAATGGCAAAGGAGATGTCAGGCCTGGAGAGATTAAGATAGAGCAATCTCCCCACTAACCTTCTGTAGGCTTATGAGTTATGAAACAAAGGAGAGGATTGATTAGAAAGGTTTAATCCTTGAGGAAAAGGAGTAACCACTGTTCTGGAATCTTCCAGCCCAAGATCTTTGATGATGTCAAGGATGTACTTTCTTTGGTTGATATGAGTCCCATTGTCATCTGTATGAATCTCCAAGCCCAAGAAATACTTAGCAGTCCCCAAGTCCTTTATTGTGAACAGATCATTCAAATAGCTTTTGAGGTCATTAATGGCAGCTGAAGAACTCCCAGCAATTAGCACATCATCCACATAGATTAAGAGAGCCAAAAACTGTTTATCTGTTCCTTTGATAAAGAGGCAATGATCATATCCTGATTGTGAGAATCCATAAGCTAGCAGTTTATCAGAAAACTCAATATTCCATTGCCTAGAGGCTTGCTTAAGCCCATACAAGCTCCTTTTGAGTAGACACACTTCTCCAGGTTTGGCCTTGAAGTATCCTTTAGGTGGATGCATGAATACTTCTTCATCTAAAAATCCATGTAAAAAGGCATTGTTGATGTCGATGTGATGGAGTTCCAGTTTTCTTTGAGTTGCCAAAGCAATAAGTAACCTTACAGATACCAGCTTTGCCACAGGTGAAAAGCTTTCAAAGAAATCCACTCCTTCTTTTTGTAGATATCCTTTCGCAACCAATCTCGCCTTAAATTTATCCACACTGCCATCAGGGTTTCTTTTCACCTTGTAAACCCATTTTGAGCTTATAGCCTTCTTTCCTTTAGGAAGTTGAGTAAGTTCCCAAGTCTTATTAGCTTCTAAAGCTTGTATCTCTTTATTCATGGCTGTAATCCACCTTTCATCTTTCACAGCTTGTTCATAAAACATAGGCTCACTGGTTCCTTTGTCCACTTCAATAAAGAAAGACTTCTCAGACAATCTTTGGGAATGAGGAGCTGCATTGACCACATAGTCAGACCACCAAACAGGTGGT